TGGGGGGACTGCGGCTCTTCACTGGGGGACTGTGGCTCTTCACTGGGGGGACTGCGGCTCTTCACTGGGGGACTGTGGCTCTTCACTGGGGGGACTGCGGCTCTTCACTGGGGGACTGTGGCTCTTCACTGGGGGGACTGCGGCTCTTCACTGGGGGACTGTGGCTCTTCACTGGGGGGACTGCGGCTCTTCACTGGGGGACTGTGGCTCTTCACTGGGGGGACTGCGGCTCTTCACTGGGGGACTGTGGCTCTTCACTGGGGGGACTGCGGCTCTTCACTGGGGGACTGTGGCTCTTCACTGGGGGGACTGCGGCTCTTCACTGGGGGACTGTGGCTCTTCACTGGGGGGACTGCGGCTCTTCACTGGGGGACTGTGGCTCTTCACTGGGGGGACTGCGGCTCTTCACTGGGGGACTGTGGCTCTTCACTGGGGGGACTGCGGCTCTTCACTGGGGGACTGTGGCTCTTCACTGGGGGGACTGCGGCTCTTCACTGGGGGACTGTGGCTCTTCACTGGGGGGACTGCGGCTCTTCACTGGGGGACTGTGGCTCTTCACTGGGGGGACTGCGGCTCTTCACTGGGGGACTGTGGCTCTTCACTGGGGGGACTGCGGCTCTTCACTGGGGGACTGTGGCTCTTCACTGGGGGGACTGCGGCTCTTCACTGGGGGACTGTGGCTCTTCACTGGGGGGACTGCGGCTCTTCACTGGGGGACTGTGGCTCTTCACTGGGGGGACTGCGGCTCTTCACTGGGGGACTGTGGCTCTTCACTGGGGGGACTGCGGCTCTTCACTGGGGGACTGTGGCTCTTCACTGGGGGGACTGCGGCTCTTCACTGGGGGACTGTGGCTCTTCACTGGGGGGACTGCGGCTCTTCACTGGGGGACTGTGGCTCTTCACTGGGGGGACTGCGGCTCTTCACTGGGGGACTGTGGCTCTTCACTGGGGGGACTGCGGCTCTTCACTGGGGGACTGTGGCTCTTCACTGGGGGGACTGCGGCTCTTCACTGGGGGACTGTGGCTCTTCACTGGGGGGACTGCGGCTCTTCACTGGGGGACTGTGGCTCTTCACTGGGGGGACTGCGGCTCTTCACTGGGGGACTGTGGCTCTTCACTGGGGGGACTGCGGCTCTTCACTGGGGGACTGTGGCTCTTCACTGGGGGGACTGCGGCTCTTCACTGGGGGACTGTGGCTCTTCACTGGGGGGACTGCGGCTCTTCACTGGGGGACTGTGGCTCTTCACTGGGGGGACTGCGGCTCTTCACTGGGGGACTGTGGCTCTTCACTGGGGGGACTGCGGCTCTTCACTGGGGGACTGTGGCTCTTCACTGGGGGGACTGCGGCTCTTCACTGGGGGACTGTGGCTCTTCACTGGGGGGACTGCGGCTCTTCACTGGGGGACTGTGGCTCTTCACTGGGGGGACTGCGGCTCTTCACTGGGGGACTGTGGCTCTTCACTGGGGGGACTGCGGCTCTTCACTGGGGGACTGTGGCTCTTCACTGGGGGGACTGCGGCTCTTCACTGGGGGACTGTGGCTCTTCACTGGGGGGACTGCGGCTCTTCACTGGGGGACTGTGGCTCTTCACTGGGGGGACTGCGGCTCTTCACTGGGGGACTGTGGCTCTTCACTGGGGGGACTGCGGCTCTTCACTGGGGGACTGTGGCTCTTCACTGGGGGGACTGCGGCTCTTCACTGGGGGACTGTGGCTCTTCACTGGGGGGACTGCGGCTCTTCACTGGGGGACTGTGGCTCTTCACTGGGGGGACTGCGGCTCTTCACTGGGGGACTGTGGCTCTTCACTGGGGGGACTGCGGCTCTTCACTGGGGGACTGTGGCTCTTCACTGGGGGGACTGCGGCTCTTCACTGGGGGGGCTGCGGCTCATCACTGGGGGGACTGCGGCTCTTCACTGGGGGGACTGTGGCTCTTCACTGGGGGGCTGCGGCTCTTCACTGGGGGGCTGCGGCTCTTCACCGGGGGGATTGCTGGTGCTGGTGCTCTTCCCGCTTCTGCCACGTTCTGTTCTCATCCAGTGTGTTCCCTGAGGCGACAGACCTCCCCACCGCCCTCCTCCCTTCCTCCCGAGTCCTCCCAGCTTTGCTGGCTCATCCGTCTTCCCACCAACAGTCTCCTCAAGGCACCTGGGCCTTTTCCATCCTGCGCCTCAGGACTCCGGCAGCCCCCACCTACGCCCCAATCCTAAAGCCACGTCCACATTTTTTTTAAAATCCTCATCTGAGAATATGTTTCCCATTGATTTTTAGAGAGAATGACAGCAAGGGAGCC